GTGTGTGTGTGTGTGTGTGTGTGTGTGGTGGGGGGGGGGGTGTCGACTGAGGTTGATGGTGAGGGTATGTACCCGGGTGGTTATTCGTGTATTAAAATTAATTTGCATTCGTGTGTGTTAGTCGGGGAAGGGGGGTATCTACAACCTGTACCGTAGTATTTTGCAGATATTTCACACTGACATATGATGAATACATCATCCTAAAACAATTGAGGGCAGTATGGTTAATTTGCTCAATATCATACTACTAGTCACCGCTGTAATTATTGGATAAACTTATAATGACAACGCCATAGTTTACAATGTAAATGTTCAGTGGCGAATTCTTAGGTGTACCAGAACCCGGGAAACACCCAAAAATTAATCAACCAAATGTAGAATCATTTAAATATGAAACTAAAATAGCTAAAATCCCGAAGCTTCTTGTGGGCATAACCCCCACACCCCCACCCCTGAATCACCCCAAAACGTTCCTCTCTAAACCATAAAATTCTGCATCCTTGGAATATTTAGGCCCTAGATTGCCACTCGCGTTATTCCGGAAAAAATCCTCCTCGAAGAATAAATATCAGCATAATACCGATGAAAATATGCGTTTTCCGATTCTGAGGCCAATACTGAAATTATAATTAATGGACGTCTGGACTGTAATTAAATGTTATCAACCAATAAAAAAAACTTGTTCAGTTGCTTACTCAATATTGAAACAGTTTTCCTGCTGTATAACTTATCTTCCAATTTTTCTGAGTTTTTTATAGGCCTATCATAAGTCCAGCAATAGATGTACCATTTTTATATAATCATTATTGAATGACGGCATTGCGACCAATCTATATCACTTTTCAAGATAATCCTGTAAGAATCGTATGTAGTCGATAGCATTCCTCAAAACTTGCATTTTAGTGACACGTTTGCGTGTTCTTTCAGTTGATGGTAGACTTGCGTATAGTTGGTTAAAGGCGTCGTTTACACTCTGGATACGCCTTCTTTCACGACTGTTCGCAAAAGATCGTCGAATGATACGATTTATCCCCGCCCGAGTCCGCTTCAACGCTGCTTCTTGGTTCACGTTTGCGGATGTTCTTACCTCCTTTTTATAACTTTCAAAAGCTGAACTTTCATCGTCTTTGTATGAACTTCCAACGTTTATGTTTACATCAGGTCTCTTTGCAACATCGGGAATTGGTACTCTAGAAACACAAGTTGGAGAGATGAATTTTGCAGTAGGCCTGCAAGTTGGTTCAAGAACGGATATATTACTTACGTCAACAACCCCGGCTTTCAGAAAAGTAGTTAGGTAAAGATTTCGTTCAGTGGAACCACTATTGCAACATGGTCTAAACCCTCTTTTCAACGAATCCGGATGATAACTGACAGGTCCTCTTCGTGGTTGACACATCCGCCATGCATTATTCTGCTTGAGGTCTATGTCCGAACATTTCAGACGATAGTCAAAATAAGGTTCCCGGCGTTGATGTTGGTGCGGTTGAAACTGCCAACAAACTGGATGTCCTTCCGAAATTCGTGGGCACAAACAAGCCGGTTGTATAGGGTACCAATGAACATCAGTAGGCCAATAATGTTTTTCTCCTGGGCCTATATCTCCACGGGTGGACGGTGGGTCATTTTCAATGGTAGTACATGTATTCATAATTTTCGGTTAAAGTGGACATCAAAATAACCGAGATAATCCGAACACAGCATTTAATGCTCTTCCTCTTAGTCTCCGATTTGGACAAATGACCATAAGGTGTTGTTATTTAATCTAAAATCAGTTAAATGACATACTATAGTCCATCGAGCACCTGTTCTCACAGGAGTATCACTGTCAGAGGTCCATTGCCTAACGTGTGTTATGGCATGTGGTATAAATGCAATGGTCACGGTGAACCAATTACACTTTATTGAATACTACAGGATACCACGTATCACGCCGCTGAGATGAGTCGATCTTTGATCAAGATATGATGTTTTTATTTATACTTCCATTGGAACCCGTATTGGCAAAATTTATTTTCAAATAAAAACACCGACGGACAAGGATCTATGAACTGTGACGTATGACGTAGAACAAGAAAGCGATTGTGACACTTATAAACAACATCTATTTATCAATTTATCTATGCACAGAATTTGTATATATATACATTATATATATATATATATATATATTTATATATATATATATATATTTATATATATTATCTATACAAGGGCGTATCCAGGATTACCATGGTGTGGGCGTACGGTGTGTGCAAAAAATGACCAACTGGGATATCTGGTAATTGCCTACAATTCCTGGCGCCGTCAAAGGGGCAGAGCTGCTAGGATTGAAGCTTATGTATTTAGGGGTCCGTAAAGCCTTTAATCAATATCGTAATCATTTTATAGAATATAGGCCTACCGGTATATAATATATATTTTATATATGTTTTATTGAGTACCGTACATTCTACACTGTCCCTTGACCTTTTTCGTAAACACCCATCGCACCCCGCCTTCCGAATGCAGGCATTCATGCTATACTATTATCAACAATAATTAAAATTCATTATAGTTGATTTTGTAAATCTAAACTTAGCTGTCACGACAATCTTAAAACATCCTTGATCACTGAAACTCTAGAAGTAACAAAAAAAAACAAAAACAAAAAACAAAAACAAAAAACAAAAAAACAAACAACGGAAATTTCAATGTTCAAATGTCAATGAGCCGTGCAAGTATCCGATAGGAAGATGAGTTACGGTAGGTCCTATGTGTTTTATGAGAATCAACTTTTTTAATTCAATGGAAGCGCTTGATTGGGCCATAAAGCGTTAAATATAATAATTATCATATAATTGTCATAATTTCAGGATGTGTTTTTAAATCAACATTTAGTTGAAAAGCCAACAGAATTAAATAATAACAATAATACTAATAATGATGATGATGATGATAATAATAATAATAATAATAATAATAATTATTATTATTATTATTATTATTATTATTATGTCAACTGTCA